TACAAAGTATTAACGCAAGGGGGACGAATAATATCGCACGCCCCACTTTTCAGTTTTTTATTTGTTTAAAAAGTTTGACACATCCAATAAATTTCATTCCACTTCAAGATTGTGTCCCACTTGTTGTTGATTCTTCACAAAAAAATTAAATTTTATATCTTTGTCAGACTCAGATGAAATAGGGTTCCCAGACTCGGAGTGTAGCGGTTCTTGCCGTGAGGCAGCAGCTTCTCCCAACACTTTCTCCAAAAACTTAACCCGCTTCTCCAGGATCGAGCAACGAAGTTCGAAAATTTTAGGACAAACAAGTAGAGCCCAACAGATATGGAAATTTTGGCTATTGCCAATACCAATATTGGGAGAAGGCTAATGCCAATAACCGATATACTGGCAATTTTTTTTAAACTTGTTCACCCAAGAATCTAAGTAAACAACTACTTTTAAATCTGTTAACACTTGAAGTCATTAAACAGTCTTCCTAACATGCGTATACATTTTCTACCTCCACTATTCACCAGAAAGTTATCAAGTGTGTTACAAAAATATAAATGAAACAAAGAAATGCCCTTCCCTGTTTCTTGTTTAAACAGTCAGTCATGTATGGTGAAGGTCTAATTATTAATGACCGCAGCAGCGTGTTTCTTTTTTTTCCCCTTTGCAGAGAAGTAAAGATTTCAGACAAACAATGAATTTCATTGAAGACAACAAAGATAACGTAAAATACACTAATATATTTTACCTCTAAATTTATTGTTCTGGTTAATGTTTTACAAGGTAATAGCCTATGCTAGGTAATCTAAATGTTAGCTTGCTAGGTGTGGCATGGAGGCTGCGCAGCTGCAGAAATAAAAGCTCTGCAGAGAGTGGTGAAGGCTGCACAGAAGTCTGTTGGAGTCAGTCTCCCCAGCATCACAGACATCTACACCTCTAGATTCAGGAAGAGGGCCACCTGCATTATGAAGGATCCCACTCATCCAGCACACACACTTTTTGCCCCGCTCCCCTCAGGAAGGAGGTTGAGGAGCATTAAGTAAAGAACCACTAGACTGAGGAACAGCTTCTACCCTGAGGCTGTTAGACTCATGAATCTCTAACCAGAATAATCACTGTGAAAAATCACATCATGTTGCTGCTGATCTGTTTCATGTTGATGTGTTCATGCGTGCTCATCTGCTCACACAGACTCATGTTCGTGCTGCTGTTCGGTATATTATTTTTATACTATTAGTGCTTAGTGTATTTTTAGTTGATGTATTTCTTACTTCATATCTTAGATCTTATGACTGTTTTTCTTTTAAATTTTATTGTTGGATGTGTAGATGAACATATACATGAGATATATTCATAAATTAAACGGATTCTTTCATTTTTCTGGACTGTATATAATGTGCATTGAATTTAGAAATGTAACGTGAGACAAAGAAATGCCAAATGCCAAATGGAATGGTTCACAAAAACTTTGTGTTTTTGAAACCATTAGTGAAAAGGCCAGACTTCAGGG